ACCTGGAGTACTGAATGTACTGCAATCACTCGCCACTGCAATATCACAAGAGGCCACTAATTGACATCCGGCCGCAGCCGCCAAACCTTTAATTAATCATTTCTATAATTAATCTCATTTGCATTTAGTCGGAAATGTGCCTGCTTAATACCGTATAATAGACATACATGTATAACTAATCTTAATCTTTTAACTTAACATTAAATATAAATACAAAAACATCTATTAAATAATCGTAAATCTGAATATTAAAATCATGTTAGTTTATGGTTTTTCTAATTCCAGCTTAAATAAATAATATACAGTACATATACGCTACTTTAATTATCATGTATTTTCACTGCATTTGTGCTAACAAACATTTATTCGGTTATACTGTATAACAAGCAAAATATGCAAACATTTCTATAGTCGATGTAATAGTTTCTCTCATTTAAAAGAAAAATCGTTAATTAATATTAAATTTAATATAAATTTAACTGTGAATACCATTGACTTCACAAATAACTGGGACTTCAAGCTTTTGAATGGATAGCATTAGTTGACTACAACTTTCAAACAATTCCTGATGGGATTCTGAACCCTTTGATGAGCTCTAAAATACAGTACAATAAATCAATTCATTCAAAGCCAAAGTACANATGGGATTCTGAACCCTTTGATGAGCTCTAAAATACAGTACAATAAATCAATTCATTCAAAGCCAAAGTACAGTACAATTCATTTAAATTTCAATATTTTAACAAAACTCTCGTTTTATATTCATTAGCAAAGTCTATATACAGGCGAGAATTCTATTAGACTTGCAACTTTTCCCATTTTCCAATTCGCTTCCCTCTTCCCTGCAATGATTAAATGAAGAATTCCTTCCCTTCCCTCTACAGCGAAGAGGGAATCCCTTCCCTTCATATTCCCTTCAAATACTGTGTATTGCGTTTATAATACACAGGTATATACTGTTTTATATGACAATAAAATACAGTGTCTATACATTTATTGCACAGATTTGGTACAAAAAATACTTCATCAGTAAATAAATTGACTCTTAAGAGAGATTCCCTTTATTTTCCCTCTGACTCTGACTGAAAAGTGAGAGAAAGAGAGATAATTTTTGTTATAAAGATACCCTCTATGTGTTCGTGAGATTCCCTTCCCTTCAACTCATTTTCTATTCCTTTCCCTCTTTTGCCTTCAGGGAAGAGGAAAGAGGGAAATTTAGTTGCCAGTCTAAATTCTATAATGCAATTATACAATACTTACAATATATTCACATATAATTAAGCGTTAAATTCTATAAAACTTTCTTTTAATTGAATGAAAGTCGTGGACTTGTTTTGAGATAATGTGCTCATAATCTCTACTAAATTCAAAATCCATTCACTATATGGTAATCAACTCTAATAATTATTAATTAATATTCAAATATTTTAATAAAGTAATAACCATGCTTAGTTGTCACCATCAAAATAAAGTATAAAATGTATATTGAATATTTATGATTATAATAATAAGTTACTAACAGTACATTTGATTCTTAAGAACTGACGGAATGACATTTTAAGCAATAATTCAGTACTAATTCGTTAGCAAATAAAGTAAAAGTAGTAATAAAAACAAATCCCTTTTGTTTGAGTGTTTAGTGAGTTTTTAGTGCGCTATTAGTGGTCACTGTTATTGATTGCCAAAAAAGTGCTTAATTTTATGGATTTCTCACAACATTTGTGTTCATTAATTATTTTGTTAACGAGTTAATGAGTATTTTAAATGAGAAGCTCTCTCTCTCTCTCTCCCTCTCTCTCTCTCCCCCTCTCTCTCTCT